TCCAGGCACTTGGCTAGAGCTGGGGAAGAAACTGTCCAGGAAAAGAAAAGGAACACGGATGTTCTATAGTGGTGGGTGGAGAAGAACCTAGACCTGTTTTTGGAGCCTGGGGCAGAAGTACCCAGGACCAATGCCTTTTTTTTTTTTAACCATTATAATCATTTTTAAGTATACAGTACAGTGGAATTAAGCATTCACATTGTTGTGCAACCATCACCACCATTCATCTCCAGAACTTTTTTCATCTTGCAAAACTGAAACTCTATATCCATTGAATACTAACTCTCCATTCTCCCCTCTCCCCCGGCCCCTGACAACCACCATTCTACTTTCTGTCTCCATGAATTTGACTACTCTAGGTACCTCATATAAGTAGAATCATAGGGTATTTGTCCATTTGTGACTGGGTTATTTCACCTAACAATGTCTTCAAAGTTCATCCATGTTGTAGCATGTCAGATCTTCCTTCTCTTTTAAGGCTGGATAATATTCCATTGTATATATACTACCGCATTTTGTTTTTCCATTCATCCACTGATGGACACTTGGGTTGCTTCCACCTTTTGACTATTGTGAATAATGCTGCTTATGAACATGGACGTACTAATACCTCTTTGAGTACCTGCTTTCAATTCCTTTGGGTATATACCTAGAAGAGGAATTGCTGGATCATGTGGTAATTCTATGTTTAATTTTTTGAGGAACCTCATACTGTTTTCCGTATCAGTTCACCATTTTACCTTCCCACCAGCAGTGCAGAACAGTTCCACTTTCTCCACATCCTTACCAATACCCGTTATTTTCTGTGTTTTTTTTTAAAAAAAATCATAGCCATCCTAATGGGTGTGAGATGGTATTTCATTGTATTGATTTGCATTTCCCTAATGATTAGTGATGTGGCCCATCTTTTTATATGCTTATTGGCCATTTGTATATCTTCTTTGGAGAAATGTCTATTCAAGTCCTTTGCCCACTTTTAAATCAAATTGTTTTTTTGTTGTGCAGTTGTAGGAGTCCTTTATATAACCTGCATACTAATCTGTTCCAATGCATCTTTAAGAATCTCCTAAGTCTGATACTGGGGGATGCTAAACCCAAAAAGCAGTGGCTCTCAACCCTCACGAGCATCAAAATTACCAAGGAACTTAAAAAATACTGATGCCCAGGCCCTTGGTAGCTCTGAATTAATTGGTCTGGGATGGGATGTGAGGCATTAGTATTTTCCAAAGTCTCCAGGTGGTTCTAAGATGTGTCCAGAATAAAAAACCACTGCTATCTAGTCTTTGTCCCTAGGGAGGCGCTGCCCTCCACCACTTACTGCTGAGAAAGTGAGAGTGGATTGGGGAGAGGAATGACTGGGTGCCACAGGGCCCAACCTTTGAGAAGCCCTCTGATGCCAGGGTGGCAGGAAAGTAATAGGAAAGGCAGCCCCCCCACCCCAACTTTGTCACACAGCCCCACCATCAGTCCTGTGCAGACATATCAGGAGGAAACAACCCGCCACTGTCTCCGGAGAAGGCACAAGAGGGAAAGATGGGCGTGGAGCCAGGAAGCCCAGTGGGCAGAGTGTGTAGTGCAGAGCACTGAGAGAGGAGGAGGGTGCCCTGGTTCCACTCCAGCTCTGCCGTCAACTCTCCCTCTGGCTTCGGGAAAGTCACCTCGCTTTCCTGTGCCTGAGAGTGTCCCTGGAAGAGAGGAAACTGGGCTCCTGCCGTGGTTCTCAATGCTAGCTGTGCCTTGGATTCACCTGAGGAGCACTTAAAACACACTGGCCCTCAGGCCCCACCCTGGAGACTCTGATTCCAGTTGTCATAGGTGGGGCCTGAGTGTTGTCATTTGGTAAAGCTTCCAGATGACTCTATGCAGTTAGGGTTGAGAACCTGGGCCAATGGTTCTGCAAGTTCCCTCCTTGGTGCTGATATTCTGCAGTTCTGCCTCCATCTCTGGGGGTGACAGTTGTGCCCTGAGTGCTCATGTGGCGCTAAGCACACACCATACAGACACGTCCCTGCCTCTCACGGCCGCAGGAGCACTGACTTGATGCTCTCTGCAAAGGTTAGGAGGAGCAGCTACCTTCTAAGAATAGAAAACGAAATGGATTCTGACCTCTAATGACACCGCATGAGGCCACCCTGTCCTATTCCACGACCCCCAGAGGAGGGTTTCATTCTCGATCTAGTTGTGCATAACTTATAAGGTGGCAGGCCCATGGGAGACAAACCACTGCTGAATGAAGAAAAGACCAGATGGCCAGAGGGTAGCTAGTTGGAAAGGGAGAAGGAACAGTTTACTGAGTTTTTGCTAAGAGGCCAACACTCTGGGCAGGCCCTGGAGAGAGGGAGGGGGTTTTCCAAGCTGGGGATATATGGAAGCGCACATACTCTCCAATGAGGCCTTGTTAGGGCCCCAAAGGATGCTCCATGAAGAATAGTGACTTAGGTCCCCACTGCCAGGAGTCGGGCACCTACATATGCTGAGACCACACATGTGAGAGGGTGGTGAGAGCTCATAGGTTGCCATTTGAAGGCCCAGCCTAACTGGTCTACGCTTGGAGAGAGGGGAACCAGTCTGCAAAAGAAAAGAGCCAAGGAAATGGGTGATAGGCATTGGTGAGGTGGCGCCTTTAAGAAGCCATGCCGGCTGGCAGAGTTAACTAGAAAGTTCTGTGACAGCCTCCTTCCCTGCTTTCTCTCTTGTCTCTATTTTGCATCCCTCAGCTCCCATTGTCAGTTAGTTCTCCACTAACCCCCTCCCTCTTGAGTTCTCACCCTGAATGCTTCACCTCCCGCTCAGGATCACAGATCACTGGACTGCTCTCTGCTTCTCCACCTTGGGTTTGCTCCCTCCTGCCAAGCTGCAAACGTGGGGGCCCCAGCTTGGCCAGGGGCAGGGAGGGGATGCGCATCTTACCCCGCCACAGGCCAGGGAGGCTGGGATTATGTCAAGAAGTCTCAGGTCTTCTCTCGAAGCTGAGTCCTTCCTAATGGAGCGAACCACAGCGGGACATCTTTGACAAATTCGCCTTTCCCAGCAAATGAATTGTTGTCCTAGGTTTTGTCTCTGGATGGGGTCTCTAGACTGGACTTGTGGGAGTTTGTATTATTCTGCTGAATAATCTATGATAAATGATGTAATAATTATAACAACCAAATGTATTGAGTGTAGGGAACCGTCCTGGTTGTTTTGTCTGTATGATCTCATGTCACCCTCATAATTCTAACCTTTTGTGCTCCGGTTTCCCCCTTGGTTAGACTTCAAACAACCACGTTCCTGAGTTTCTCTAGTGGCTGCTTCAAAGGACTGAGGAGCTGCACTGGCAATTTCAAATTCCACACAACTTCCTGACACAATTCTTCCTTGGTCCTCGGAGGAAAAGGGGGAATAAGCGGGTGATGACTAAGCTGGGGGAGAGGAGCACAGGTGTGTGTGTCGGGGGGGAGGAGAATCAGGTTTTAGTTTGTATTATTCTCCTGGTAGAAAAAACCCAGGAGTGGCCGGCTCCGTGGTGGAGTGGTTAAGTTTGCGCGCTCCGCTGCGGCGGCCCAGGGTTTGGATCCTGGGCACGGACACGGCACTGCTCGTCAGGCCACATTGAGGCGGCGTCCCACATCCCACAACTAGAAAGATATGCAACTAAGATATGCAACTGTGTACAGGGCGGGTTTGGGGAGATAAAGCGGAAAAAAAAAAGATTGGCAACAGTTGTTAGCCCAGGTGCCAATCCTTAAAAAAAAAACAAGGAAGATTGGCAACAGTTGTTAGCTCAGGTGCCAATCTTTTAAAAAAAAAAAAAGGAAAAAACCCAGGGGGCCGATGGAAGTCGGGCAGCATTAAAAATGCAACCTGCTATCGCCATCTGGTGGAGGAAAGAGGAAGCCAGGCTTTGGAGAGAGAACAAGTTGCAATTCTAGAAACGGGAACATTTCAAACATGCACCCCGTAGTATCTGCTAGGAAGCCTGCAACAGGTGTCCATGGTGACCCTTGGCCCTGCCTCCCAACAGAACCAGGTCCCAACAGAACCAGGTACCTAGTGCAGGTCTGCATAGCAGGTGCCCTGATGCAGGTTATCTGACTAGTTACAGAAACAAGCTCAGAACTAAGTTGCTCTCTGGGCCTCAGTTTCCTCAACGTAAAATGAGTGACTTCAAGGCCCTGCCAGCTTGAATTTTGAAGTCAGTGGTTGTCATACTTGCGTGTGCATTGGAGTCCCCTGGAGGTCTTGTTAAACACAGATCACCGGGCCCCACCCTGGGCATCTCTGACCCAGCAGGTCTAGGGTGGGGTCTGAGAATTTGCATTTCTAACAGGTTCCCAGGGGATGCTGATACTGCCAACACAGAGATACTGCCCCCTACTCTGGATACTCACTGTTCTAAGTAGTTCAGTCTCCCTGGTGTGAGAAAAAGTGAATAGATAAGCAGAAAGCTTATATAAAACAACACAGAGCTTATATAAAATAGAAGCCAAGGCTCGAATAACTTATCCATCAAAGGCACATAAATGAGTGTCTCAGACCCTGGCAGGGCTGAGGGGAGAGTCAAACTCACCTGTCCCTGGGTTTGCTTGGTGCCTCTGTGTCAGCATGAGCAAGGCTGGGGGTTTGGGGTTAGGGGGCCTGCAGTAGCTGTGGAGGGGAGAGTGGTTAGTGGAGAAAGGAGTCTAGGCTATGGCCATAGGTAGACGAGGACTTTTTAGAATGAAGGGTGACACAATGGGAGAGCTGGAAGAGATCTTAGAGGTCATCTAATTCAACCTTCATTTTTAAGGTGAAACTGACTCAGAAAAGTTAAATGACTTTGCCAAAGTCACACGGCTATTTGGTAGCCCTTTCTCTTCATATTCCCAACCCAATTTCTTCACAAGCAGATCCCAGAGAAATCCCACAAGGCCAAAACGGGTTCATGAGAGAGGTTAGTTCCACAACGGTCTTCAGTTAGAGTAGGCCAGCATCCCCAGCCGCCTTCGGGTCCACATCCCCTCCCCCTCCATTCTCCCTACCTTTCACCAAAGGGAAGAAGCAGTCCATCTCCACGCTGCTTCGGGAATGGGAGATGCACAGGGCACTGCTGGGGACCAGGCCCTCCTGAGGGGGGCTCCGCTCCGTGGTGCGCACCAGACACCAGCCCGGCCGCTCGCTCGGCCGCTCCAGCAGCTCCACCGTCTGTCCCACCTGGATGGTCAGCTCGCTGCTGTGGCCTGCGTTGAAGTCCTGGAGGACCACGGTCAACTCACATCCGCCAGAGAGCTTGGAGGTGATGGGGAGTGTGGGGTAAAATGTGAGGGCATGGGGGAAGGAGATGGGTGGGTGAGAGAGGAAGGGGAGAAAGGACGTGTGGGAGCAGAGGAGGAAGACAATGAAGAAAAAAAGGAAAAGATGGGATTCAAAGTGGAAAGAAGGCAGAAGTGGGAATGGAAAAGGGAGTTGGGAACAGGAGAGAAAAACAAGAAAAAAAAGTAATTAAGAGTGCCGTCGAATCACTGAGCTATTCCAGCTGCGGCCACAGTCTGGAGCCCGCCCAGAACCAGGGCTTTGATTCCAATTCCTTCTTGTTTGGGTGGAGTTCTTGTCATTATTCCTTTGCCAAGCTTCCAGCTTACTGTGCCTTTAACCCTCTTCCCCAGTGTGCCCCTTTACTCCTTCTAAGGGCTCTACCCTGTGCCCCAAATCTGCCCCAACGACTACCCCTCAGACTCTTACCAGGCATCATTTCTAACTCACTCTCACATGATTTAGTTGATGTTTGGGAAGAATGGAAGAGCTGATCTCCCTTCTTTCTAACCCCTGTGAGCTCCCCATCCCCACCCCTCACTGGAGCCATTAGCTAAAGAAGAACGAGGCTTCAACACAAGAGCAGAAGCTACTATTTATCTGGAAGGGGAGCAGAATTGTTTCACTGTAGCTCAGCTATTAGAGGCCGGGGGAAAGAATGGGAAGGGAAGAAAGGGGTCACATCCTACTTAGGAACTGTCCTTAGTGCTCTATCCTGCCCTACCTCCAGGCCTGGCCCTTCCCACCGCACGAATCTGGGGCAGAACCAATAAAACTGGGTAGAGAGACCTGGAGATAGGACAGCCTCTACTAGTTGAACACTGAGACTTTCAATTTCCCCATGAGAAACCTTTACTCATTAATTTGTCTCCTAGAGGTAAGCACAAAGCCTTCTTCTTGGAAGAGCAGCTGCACTTAGGGGCAGAGGGAGACGGAGGGAAGGGCAGGAAGCGGAGGCCCAGAGGCCCAGCTCGGCAGTCTGTTCTCTAAGGTTCAGCCCAAACAGCCATTTGGGGAGAAAGGCCCTGTACCACCTCCGGGGTACTTGACTTCAGTCTGCACATCTCTGACTTAAGCCTTCAGGGCCTGCCTTATCTGCACCAACAGCCACATGAATGCATAGTCCAAATATGTTGTGCAGCTATTTCACACATGTCCTGGGAAGCTTCTGCTGAATGGCAAACACTGGGGCATCATCGTAGGTCGGGAATCAAGAGTTCCACCAGGACAAAGAGCTCAGTGTGCAGGACTGTGAGATTTCTCTACTCATGGAACTTGACTGTCACAGTGGGCTTAAAAAGGTTAGCATGATGCATGAGACTGACGGTTGCAACATGCATCACCACCCACCAGAGCAGGGAGCCCATTGTAAACACACTCCCGTGGATGGGCACCATAGTGCCGTCGGGAGTAGAGCAGGACGAGGAATCTGTAGGTCAGAAGGTCAGAAAGAAAACCATGCTTGTTGGCTCACTTTCTCCATTTAACTTTCCTGGTCCCATTAAACACACAGACCCCACTCTCCCACTCTCCTAGTGCTATCTTCTCTAAAGCCTCATTTAGAGGAGGATGTTGTAGGACGGTAACGCCTCACGTCTGTAGAGTGCGTGCACAGTGTGCAAAGTACCTTCGCATGAATCCTCACAATAACCAGGTGATATTAGCATCTCCATCTCATACGTCAAGAAACTGAAGCTCAGAAATGTCAAGATCTGTGGTTGGAGCACTGAGTCTGCATGAAGATCACCTAACGAACTTATTAAAAACGCAGATGCTCTTGCTGGTCCCTCTCTTGCCCGAGCCTCCAATCACACGAGGCTCAGGTTAGGGCTCAGGAATGCATTTTTTTTTTTTTTTGTAAGATTGGCACCTGGGCTAACAATTGTTGCCAATCTTCCTTTTTTTTTTTTCAAAGATTGGCACCTGGGCTAACAACTGTTGCCAATCTTTTTTTTTTTCTGCTTTATCTCTCCAAATCCCCCTTGTACACAGTTGTATATCCTAGTTGCAGGTCCTTCTAGTTGTGGGATGTGGGATGCTGCCTCAACGTGGCCTGACGAGCAGTGCCATGTCCGCGCCTGGGATCCGAACCCTGGGCCGCCGCCGCAGAGCGCGCAAACTTAACCACTCGGCCACGGAGCCAGGCCCAGGAATGCATATTTTTAGCAAGGACCCCCAACTCATGATTCTGAAAAGGGGGTTCCTGGGATACTGGCTGATAAACACTGGCTAGACGGTTTCCCACCGTCACCCAGCTGGACTTGAACTCAAACCTTGACTACAAATCTCAGGCTCCTTAAACCACACAGCAGGGCAAGTTAGATCAATATTTTTAGGTGTGTTTATGGTTGGAGAGGGTGGAGGCAGGTGGAGGGAAGAAGACATCAGTGACCTGAGCTACTGGTCCTCTCAGAGTTTGCTTGGCCTACATCAGGTCGCTTAAACTTTTTAGATTGCAATCCTTTGTAAGAAATACATTTTATATCTTGACCAGTCTACACCACATAGGAATAGATGTATTGCTAAAACATTAGCTTCACTCTGATATTCTGTTTCATTTTTTGTCTCAATTGCTGGTGGCATCCCACTAAATTGATTCCACTCTCCACTAATGGAATATTTGTAGAATGCTGGCCTAGATGACCACAAAAGTTCCCTCTAACTCTGAGAATCCCTATCACTGAGCTTGCACACTTCAGTGGAGTTGCTCCTCTGTGCCAATGTGAGGTATGCAGGGTTATTTCCTGGGGGTCAAGTGTGCACGTGGCCTCAGATGTAACTTGCAGCCCTTTTGCAGACGGTTGAGGCAGAGTAGAGGGGGGCCTGAGGCTCTGGTTGCAAACAGCCCAGCATGTCATCCAGATACAAGGCCCACTGCCCCCAGGGCAAGTTACAGACAGACCCACTGGCGAGTGTGTGTGTTGGGGGGTGGCTGGGGGAGTTGGGGGAGGATAAAGAGCCAAGCTGTGTGCTTCTACAATTTGAAGACCCAGTTCCTGGAGAGAAGCCTGGAAACACCACTAGATGGTGGGGTTTGCCTCCTGTAGGCTGCCCACTTCACATAGACAGAGGAGAAAGTGGAAGGAAGATGATTAACAGGCGAGGTCTCTTGTGCTTAAGCTTTAGATCCAGCCAAAACCCATTATGGTTCAAACACAGGATGAATGTCCTGGTTCACATCACCTCAATGGCTTGGTCTAAAAGATTGATTACACCAGGTCCCCATCCCAAGGCATGAAGGTAATTCCAAAGAGTGGCAGCCCAGGGGGTTAGGGGAAATGATGAGTCACTGGTCAAGCAGGCTGCCCCTGAAACCATCCGTCCTCATCCTCTCCCCACAGCAACAGGGAAGCCTCAGGGAGCCCAGGGGACTCGGGGTTCACACTTGAGAAACACTGCTTCAGAGAACCCACGACTGGAATCAGTACTGGAAAGTTCTAAGAGCTCCTGCCAGTAGGGCAGGGGTCAAGGGCAGAGGGGCCAAAAGACCTTTGAGGACTCTTGGCACTCTTAAAAGGCTTTTACTTGCAATCCTTAAACTAACTCATTCATGCTTGGTGCTTGAAGCGTTCTCCTGGACTGTGATGAGTCATATCACCTACTGAACGTTAATTACACAGAGTGCGCCTCTCATCAACAAATAAAACCCAAATTCCCTCACAAATACTAAATTACCAGTTTCTTAGAAATGTGCACGTGTGTTTTTCCTTCCTGCCCAGCCCTGGCGTGTGTCAGCAGATCTCCTGTCTCACAGAACCCCAGGACCATTATTTTTGTTTCTTCCTCTTTCCATTTTGAGAGGACCCGTGAGCACGTCCCCACTCTGGCTGTTGCTTTCCCTTTGTGGAACTCCAGTCCTTTCCAGAGGCACATTCTGGAAGTTCCCATTTCTCTCCCTGAGCTAAATCTCTGGTCCCAGGAATCTGAACAGGGTTATCCAACAGCTTGTTGTAGAAAGTGCTGCAAACAATCTCTCTGCTTTCACCTAATTCTTTTCTTCTCCACAGCCTTTTAAGAGCTGTTTTAACGTCCTCGTTTGCCAATCTTTAGATTTTTATCTTAAATTTCTTGGCATATTCATTTTCTAATTTTCCCTTTTAGGCCTGCAGATCATTCTTCACATTTGGCCTCACTTTTTTTTTTGTTTTTTAAAGATTGGCACCTGAGCTAACAACTGTTGCCAATCTTTTTTTTTTTTCCTGCTTTTTTTCTCCCCAAATCCCCCCAGTACATAGTTGTATATATATTTTAGTTGTGGGTCCTTCTAGTTGTGGCATGTGGGATGCCGCCTCAGCATGGCCTGATGAGCGGCGCCATGTCTGCAGCCAGGATCCGAACCAGCGAAACCCTGGGCTGCCAAAGTGGAGCGCGCGACCTTGACCACTCGGCCACGGGGCTGGCCCCCTAGCCTCACTTTTAATTTTCCTTGTCAGAGATGACTCCTTTATGTTTTCTTAATTCTTCTTCTTCTGGCAGAGCCTTCTTTCCCAAAAATCTCCCTGCACGGGCTCATGCAACACACAGCTTGTCTCGTAGTTGTTCCCCCATCTGACTCACCGACCACTGAGACATGGACGTGGAGCTGGAACCATTGCCCTTTAGTCCTCCTTGCCTCCCTACTGGGCTTGTCATTTGGCCACTTGATCCCTCCCTGGGGAGAGCCATTCACAGCTGAGGCAGGACAGAGGATGCTGTCTCAACTCTCTCTCTCAAGGTCTATATCTCCCACATACTGACTTACATTACAGATGACTTTATTTTAAATTGTCAGTTCCTTGAGCATCTGCTTCCTCCGGAGTATGCCAAGCCTTCCACCTAACCAGCCTCTATCAGTTCAAACCTACCCCAGGTTCTGACACCAAACTTATTCCTACTAGGGAAATGTTGGGAGCCCTGAGTTGGGAGCACAGACCCTCAGCATGAAGTCAGGTGCGTCTGGGTCTCCTCCGACCTTGTTTCCCAGTTTCTGTAATCTT